ATGGCTAAAACACTCAGAATCCTCCTGGGCAGTAATCCTGAGATGCTGTGGCCTTGGCCTCTGTAGAGCGCAACCCAGTTTTGCGCTTCTTTGTCGTGGAACAATGCGCTTTTTGAGCCCTCTTTACCCTTTTGGCATCCTTTTCGGCTGCTCGCCGCAAAGAGCAGTCTCCTGGATTGAAGCCCAGTTGAGCAGTGATCTCTTGCAGCGCACTCTTGCAGCCACCATTGAAACGGCAGACTGCATCTGCAACTGCACTTTCCACACTTCGAAGGGAGGCGAACTGGCTCTTGGACTGGAGTGACCAAATGAGGCTGTTCATACTCTCCACAGCGTTCTGGGTTTTTCCCTGCGCACACCTTTCAAGGAGCTCTTTGTTCGAGAGGCGCTTGTAGATTGGCAGCAGTGCCACTCGCACGTGAGGGGGCAGTTTATGTTTGTGAGGCGGCAGCGGCTCTCCCTTGGCCAATGCCTGATTGTGCGGGCACCAGGAGTCAGTCCCACTTGGGCACAGGTTGTGGTGTGGATCCTGGTCTGTGGATGTTACATGGTAATAAGTGGCCATGATGGCCCTCTCCATGCCAGGAACATCGTTGGGGTGGCTCTTAATCGCCCAGCCATAATAATTCGTCAACTTCTTTATCAGGCCCTGCGTCAGCCGGCCTTTGCCACCCATGCTCAGTCCTCGGCCTTTGGATTTGTGCTCATCAAGAAGGTTGCGCAAGGAAGTGCCCATTCTTTTTTCACATGGTTCACACACTCCTGTTTCTTAATCACCATGTAGCCATACACCTTGTCTTGCGTGAGGGCAAGGTACGTACGGCTGTCACCGTCGCAGAGCACATTGATGTATCGAAGCTTGTACTTGGTAAACGATCTTTCAAACATGATCCTAGCTGCTTCTACTTCCATTTGGCCTGCATTAGCATCGGTGTTCTTTTGGCACTGTGGCTTGTGTTTCTCAAGCCACTCCTCATAGTTGTTGTCACCAGGCTTGGGGCCAACAGCACAGCCTTGGCAGTAGTTGGACAGGACACAGTGGTCCAAGACCAAGCCTGTGTACAGCTCGATTACACAGCCCACGCCAATATGACTTCTGTGCCCCCTCGTCATCCACGTGCCGTCGTAAATGACGTCAATGTTGCCTGGCACTCCTCCTAGGTCCTTGTAAATGTCATGCACCTTCTGTGCACTTTCTGCTTCAATGCGGGTGGCAGCTGATGTGGTGGCAGGGTGGCTGTACTTCCTTTGCAGTCTCTGGTAGGACTTGTGGTGCAGTGCTCGATGCGAAATGTCCATCGCAGAAAAAATGTCATTTATGGCAGATTGTTTCCTGCCAACTGACTGCACAGCCCTCAAAGCACGCACGTTTACCTCAAAGGGGTTCGTTTTTTGTTGCCCGGAGCACCTCGGGGACGACCACGCACTGTTCACTCTGCCACAATTGTCACAAAAAAGTTCCATCCTCGCCGCGAGTCCAAGGCAGTGCGTAGTCTCGAGGCGTATCGACCCTTCGTCGCACTTGTTGCACTTTACTGACGAAAGCAGACCGTTCAGCATCTTCTTATTTACAATGAAGAATGTGGAGTCCTTACCGCCGTCATTTTCGTCGCAGCCTTCGTTCAGAAGCTCGAGCTTCCGCTTTGAAGCGGACTTCGATGCTACGGCATCCAAAACATCCCGCCTTGTCTGCGCCCGCTGCGCGATTTCTTCACTGCTCGGAATCTGGGCCGAAACTCGCGATAGAATGTTCGACGCGCGCACGCCCGGAGTTGCAACGGCTGCCGACGCGGTGCCACCGCAATCGGGTTCGCGAGAGCGTCCATCACGGTCGACGGCATCCGGCGGTCTGACATACGACGATGTGGCACCTTCCACACTCTCGGCCTCACAACAATCAGCGAAGGGTCTGAGTAGAGGCTCCGTGACGCTCGAAGAGCATGCTCCGTCCGGAACTGCGACTGGGACGGCAGCCGCAGTCGTCTGCCCTTTGTTCCAAGCTTTCCGACACTTGCCGTACTTGTGGACGCTCCGGAACTTTTTTTGCGGCAACATAGCACCGCAGTATGAGCAAGCACTCAGAAGAGACCACCGATGTAACAAAGCTTGGTAAAAAAAGCACGCGAACTATCACAAAAACAGCAAACTGGCAAAAAACGAAGCGCACGCCGGATGATTCTCGACACGGCGGCCGCAGATGCGCTCGCGCTTCCAAGGTTGCCAAGGTGCGCGGCGCAGCTTTGACCAGTAAGAGGTCGCGCCTGCTACCACGTGACCCGCGCAGCCAATTGCCGTTCTTCGTTTTCGTTTTTTTACTTGCTCCTCGCGCTTTTATTTTCACTCGGCGAAATACGAGACTGCGACCATCGGGAAGCCGGCTTTCTCCTCTTTCCAAAGCTACCAAAATGGCGGCCCACGGTCAACAACTTGGCGCATTTGTGCGGCGTGAACAACACCGTTTCAGGGGCTTTTTTTTTGCACTTTTTGGCGACTAGCCTCGGCAAAAACACTATTTGCGGGATTTGTAGCGCACGTTTCGCTGTAATATTTTAGAACAAGGAAGTTGAAGGTCTGAAGATTACGAAAAAAAATAAATCAGAAAATCGCATATTTTGACCGAAATCGGCACTTTACTTGCCGCGCCCCCCCTTAAAACAACGTCTACTTCCGGTTGCGGCAACTCCAGCCGCGAACTCAATCAGTCGTGTGCCTGTTGGGGAACCGTGGGTGCCGTAATCATGCCAGTATGGACTCTGCGTTGTGCGCATGCCTTCAAAAAAACACCAACGTAATAGACCCGCACAGGGAGTCATGGACAGGCCACACGTTGCACGCGGGCAAAACGTGCAACAAGCAGCGCAGACAGCTGCTTGCACACTGACTGGAAGTCGTAGGCTTTTGCTCGACCGCTCACAGCATATGTGTCATATTTGGCTCGGCGCGTCAAAGATGTGGCATGACGTGTAGCTCGAGAGCCTGGAAGGCCCGGAAAGAAGGGATTGTTTCTTAGAATTTGTGGCGCGCTGGCGGCGCGTAGCGCTGCCACGTGTAGAATCGTTCATCGCAACAGCATTCTGCACACGATGCGCGCGTTTACTTGAAATGCTTGAAAAATATCCGAGGTGGTTTACGGACACTAACTTGTTTTTTATTTTTCGATGCCACGCCCCTGTTTATTAGATCAATGTAAAGGGCTGACTATGCGCGCCCCGCCACTTAAAAGCTGAACAGCCGCACCTCCACCGTTCACATGGGTGCTTCCGTACAACGGAACAGCTGCAAAGAGTCCCGTGCATAGAGTGACCTAGAATAGGGGGAGTGTCCAAAGCGATATGCGAATACAAGAGAGGAGTGAGGGCCTTTTGCGATAAACTCCCACGCCGCAATGCTGCCGTGCCGAAGCCGTTATAGTTACTCTATATGCTACCTTTATGTAGCAGAGTTGCGCCACTGTTTTCCAGGTGCCGCTCACTACGCCTGCAGGATTTTATCACCCCTATTCACCAAGTGCAATAACATGGTTATATGAGCACTGCGGAGAAGCCAACACAACGCAGACGACGCTGATGCTTCGCAGATTCCAGGCAGATCAAGCGGGCGGTTGACATCGGCTGCTGTTGTTATTTTCTCCGCACTTCTTCCGTACTGAAGCCCTGTTGCCTGTTGGTCGTGAGAAATGTGGTAGCAAGTGCATTCTTTGTTGAATTGTACTACATATAGCACGAATGATTAGACGCAGGTGCAGCGGGTGTTCCTATAGAAAGAGTAGTGTTCAGTGAGGAAGGAATAAACGCTCTTTTTTTTTTTAATGTATCCACGGCACTGCAAAACTTCCTCTATTTGTACTAGCCACAGATGCAGTGAATATGTTATACATGCATAGTTGGTCAGCATGTGTTGGCTGCATACGTTCAAATCGGTCTGATGGGTAAAATGCCAAAAATAAAGGGTAAGTTAAACTTCAACTCTTCCAATCGGCAAGGTGTTGCAGCTAACATGTGAATTTATCGCAGCTTTCAAACACTAAGGGGCCAGTGAACAAGCTCCTCCTCTTTTTTTTTTTTTTTTGATACCCTCCAAACAAGCTTGTGCATTTTTTCTGCACCTGACCAATCTACTTCCATGCGCACTGTCAACTCTGCGATCAGCTATGTTGACTTAATGTTTATTGAGACCTGGGTCAGACCAATCAACGAGCTGCGTGCTGCGCCACGTCGATGATCACAGAGTCGACGTCACTGCGCGTGGAAGGAGGTTCGTCATGCGTAGGAAAGATGCGCGAGCTTGTTCGAGAACTGGGAAGTGTAAAAAAAAAAAGTCTGAGCCTATTGACTGGCCTTTTAAGCGAAATAAATATTGGACGCAACAGGGCTGTTTAACTACAATTCACATCAGCTGTCGTGAGCTGCGATTGTAGTACGAGCGCAATACGAGAGGCACGCAAAATATATGGGCGTCGCCCGGCCACTCACAATCGCTATCCAGCTCGATTCAGTTGAAGACTATAAACCAATAACTTGCTTCCTCACACAGTTAACAAACGAGCCCAACGCAATGAACAAACTGCACTCCTAACTGGCTCGATCACGATAAATTGTGCAAAAATAATTTTACATATGTAATGGGAAAAACGGCGGCATGGAAGACTAAGCTAATGTGTGACCAACTATAGAAGGTTTCACCAGCGCCTGCCGGTCTCTGGCAACATTGTGCGTTCATTAGAAAACACCCCAGGAAACTTACGGTGTTACTTGTTTTTGCGTGGTTTTAGCCTGGGTTTCTAGCCGCAGGTGCTTGTGGGCCAACATTCTATGCGGATAACATTTTTCAGATTAAGCACTTGCAACTCAAGCACAGCTGTGTCAAGCCAGGATGTAGTCTGCAGGCCTGAACTAAGCGTTCTTTGGCTGATCACCGCATGTAGGTGTATTAAAAAAATACCTGTTCAAGCAAGCAATAATCATAAAATCATAACCCTTTATCAATCGCTTCATCAATACCTCTGCAAGGGGACGTTGTCGCAGTGAAGAGTACCGCCTTGGCTTGGCTGCACATTCAGAACTTCCTACAGGGCCTCCCCTAGGTGTCACTGTAGATGCTGTGCTCCTCTTCAAATCTGTGTTATCACCTTAAATGGTATGAATTCAATCGTTATTATTCATGAAGCATTTCTGCACTGAAATTGCTGGTGATGAAAAGTAAACGATACAAAGCTATTTTTAACACTGGAAAACTAAGTTTTTCGAAAGCAAAACGCACATTGTACACATGAAGCAAAAGCCATATCTGAAGAGAAACATGCGGTTTGAAGAAACATATTCCACAAGTTACAATATATAGCCAACATAAGTTCCATAATAAATGCACAAGAAATGACTGATTTATATCAATACACAGTAACAATTTAGGCTGCACTGTTGGATTAATAAATGCTGACATCTGAGATCTCATATTGTCACATCCTTATTTGTACCTGCTATGTGTTGACAAAGACAAAGACGACTGATCTGGTTGCACAAGTGTGTCTTCAAGTACAACACAAAGACTGTGACTTCTATTTGTGTTGTCACCAGCAAAGCTAGGCACAAATATGGATGCACCATCGCTATGGACAGAGACGTTTTAATAATTGGAATATTAAAGTACTCAAAGGCGATTCCGGCGATTTTCCGACTAGGTCAGGGTAATGGTGCTTCTATGTCCCTGAGATACTTTTGTAATGAGTCCAGTAGCTGAAATAACAATAATACATTCGAACCCAGCAACCATGAAACCGACGGTGCACGGAAAAAATTTTGTTTAAGGGAAAACTTCGTTGTAGTGAAATCGAAAAAAAAATATCCCTGGTCTGAGCAAGCAAAATAAGGGAATGTTTGATTCAAAAAATGTCTGCTGCTTCCTTTTTTTTCCAAGCACCGTCACGACGTGATTCACACCCATGGATAGCGAGGCCATAGCGAAAAGCACGCTGAAACAACGCCTAAAACCGCTTTCATGAATGAACCAAACAGTTGCATTCACACGTTAACACCAGCAGCTAACTGCCGTCAAAAGTATCCGACAACACGGAGATGGAAGCAGGGTATCGTGGAGTGGCGACTTTCGCATTATTCTATGCCATTCTTACCATCCACCACTTGCAGCTAGCTGATTTAGTTGATAATGCAGACGAACAGCCGCTCTGATTATTTACCACACTGATTAGTTACGAAGTTACCACGCTGATTGGTTACCAAGCATCAGAATCTGAAAAGGCATCGTGCCGCGGCTGCACCCAGCAGCTGCGAGAAGGAAACCATGAACTGAGCTTCAGCTACGGATCGTCTGCTGCTCAAAAGCAATTTGATATGTGGGGTTTAACGTCCCAAAACCACCATATGACGAGAGACGCTGGAGTGGAGGGCTCCGGAAATTTCGACCACCTGGGGTTCTTTTAACGTGCATCAAAATCTGCACACAAGTGCTCAAAAGCAAGCCAATGGCAAAACAAAAGCAGAGCAGTCTCATTGCCATCAATATCGAGCAATGATGGCACCCATGCTTGCTGAACAGCAGCGGTTTCTGGTGGTGCCAACGTGTGTTTTAGGCTTCGTTGATGCATTTTCAGGCTCTGAAAATGCATCGAAATGTTAAAGATTGGGTTTACTGCATAGCAATAAGTATCTGAGGTTCCGCCGGCGCGAAGTATGAAAACTGCGAAAGCCAGGCTGTGCGAACACTCGGGGCAGAGGCGAGCGCACGGAGTAGAGCCGGCCGAACAACACAGAGTAAGAATCCTTCTGTGCCAAACACTGCCCCCGTTGCCTTGTGACCAGCACAGTAAACACGGTAGCGGCCAAAGTTAGTAATGTTATCGACTGTGTCACTTCCGTTGACATGCCAAACATGACGTCACACAGATGGTGTTGCCAATAATTCCAGCTAAGAGGTGAGCGTTTTGCGGCAATCTTTAAAATTCATTTGCAAACAATCAGCACAGCACATCTCTCAAGAATGTAATTTGGCATAAATGACAGAAATATTGAAAGGAACATATTCAGCAAATTTCGTTGATCTCAAAAATCGTCAGAGTTGCCCTTCAAATGTACAGTAGACTCTCAGTAAACAGAAATCTGTTAAACGGAACTACTGCTTAAACGGAACTATTGCCTCTGCAGTACTTGCTATTGGGCTTTTACTCTAGACCCACGTTCACCTCTCAGTAAACGGAACACTTGTTAAATCGAACACATTGTCCCAGCTTTCGTTTACTGAAAGTCTACTGTATTTGCATGATATGAAACTCAAGACAAGTCAGACAGTATGTACAGTATGTACAAGACAGTATGTACAAGAAAGTATGTACAAGTCAGTATGTACAAGTCAGATGACGCAGCCCCACCTTAGTCTTAAATTCTGTCACTAGTGCCCAAACCGTTATCATAAAATAATTTAGGAGAATGCACACACTGCAAACTCTCTAAGAATGGGTCATGAATCACCCCTCATGCTTGGCGTGATAAACACCTTACCCCCGTATTAACAAACACTCCTGGACTTGACCCTTCACTCGAAATGCTTTTCGAGTGGCCTTTCCCCATTCACAACCCGCCCTTCACTCGAAATGCTTCCTTCACTTGAGAAAATCTCAAGCATTTCCTCAAGATTGTCAAGGAAGCAATCGAGCTACCTTGAATCGTCCTTCGAGTGAAGTTTCTGCGCCAACATCGCATCCATGGCGGAGCCTGTCTCGCTTTGGCGACGTTTTTTGAACAATTAGGCTGCTACCGCCACGTTCTTTCGACAATGACGGTGCGTGTTTACTACAGAGCTTTCTTCGAACGGTTCAGCAACGGCTAATGTGGCGCCACGACAGGCGGGCGTGGTGTCAAGAGGAGCGCTCACCAGTGCCGTGATGTGTTGTGTTTCGTGCAAGAGCCATTGAATTCCTTGCCTTCAGGTGTGCGTATACTCGTCATGCGAGTGCTTGAAGACTTACTGCAGGAGCCAGTGCTTTCAAGTGTTTTGATGAAGCTCGCACACCACATCAGTTCAATGTGGAGCGAAAACTTGATAAACAAGTGGAGAGGAAACGTAATAGCAAACTTCCGATGCACTGCATTCACCGTACTCCTGAGCGGCTTCCTCTCCGTTGAATCTTTGGTACCTTAGCCGAAATATACGGCGAAGCACACTTTCAATAGATGATCGTCTGTATCTACGAGAAGGTTAGTTCTTTTTTTGTCCATTTTCGCCCCTGCTTAGGTCAGATCACTATTAGAGACAGTTAAGGTGGTAGGCCACTCATTTTAAGGACAGGCAGCGTTGAAATAACTTTTTCCTCAAAACCAGTATGTCTTATTTAATTTACCCAGCTATTTAGAGCGCAAAGTATTGAATATTTATTTATTCGGAGGTAATCTTTGTCAAAAATTGCATTACAAGAGCTAGCCACGCCAGCTGTGATAAGTGACTAATGGGTGGCTTTATTCAGTAAAGCTTTCACATTTGTGTAACTAATGGCTGGAGCTACGCAGTGAATTAGAATAAATATTATGCAGTGCATATCAAGGAAGTAATGCTAAATAAACAAAAAAAGCGGGGAAAAAGAGCCAATTTGGACTGAACCTGTTGGAGAATTCAGCTGTGAACTGAAAAATATCCGATGGATTTTTTTTTTTTCTTGATAAGTGACTAATGGGTGGCTTTATTCAGTAAAGCTTTCACATTTGTGTAACTAATGGCTGGAGCTACGCAGTGAATTAGAATAAATATTATGCAGTGCATATCAAGGAAGTAATGCTAAATAAACAAAAAAAGTGGGGAAAAAGAGCCAATTTGGACTGAACCTGTTGGAGAATTCAGCTGTGAACTGAAAAATATCCGATGGATTTTTTTTTCTATTTCACTGCACAGATATATTTGTTGTAAATCATTGTCCGAAATTTCAGTTCAAAGTATACGCTAAGAAATACGTTATCAAAGTTTGCGTCGCAACATTTGGAGCAAATTGTTATTTTCAGAAAAACGTAAACAAAGATTTCCGAGCTTGTAAAAAGGGTCACAATCTTCGCATGCAGGCCTAAAATGCACCAGATTCATAGCTGGGCCCTTCTGCGAAAGCATTATTGCCTCCTTTCGTTCAGGTGGCTGCTCGTCTTTTTTTCCTGGCCTGTTTTGTCCTATCCGCTGACTTGCGTTTAGCTTTCTGCATATGCAGGTGATCCCTGGCGATGCAAGCTTTCGTCGTGTGGTACCCTGGTTCTATGCCCTTACCTCAGGATATCTAGGGTGCTTACACTGCCATTATTAAAGTGTGCCACAGCATCATGCAAGGAAAACATTACTGTAGGCAAGCTTACGTAGACCTCTTTGGGTGCCCGCTGCCATAACCATTGAAACACTCATTAGCATTTTGAGTCTTTCCATGAAAGCACTTCATTAGAAGTTCATCAGAGCACAGATCACTGTAGACAGTTTTAACTTTATTGAGCACATCATTTGGAAGTCCTCCTTCAGGTACATATTTCCCTTGGCCGAGTGCTTCGACCCTTTGGTATCCGCACCAGCTTTTCGGTCCAAGTGGACACAGGCCTTGTCTCGGCTGCTTGTCGGTAGAGCTGCAATGAAAAAGACTGGCAAGGGTAGCCTTTTTCATTGCAGAAAGGTTCCCCACATTAGCCCTTATGGCGATGCCATAGTAGTTTTGCAGGCGGTCAATAAGGGCATCAGTGAGCTTTCCCTCCACCGAGTCCACGCACTGTCTTCTTCAGTTTTCCGAGGCGGCAGCCAACACGCTTCTGGACATGCCCAATAAATTCCAGTTTCTGCACACTGTCCTTTCCATACATGTCTTTGACAGCGGCATAGCTTTTGGAATCACCATCGCCGTAGTACTGCAGGTACTTCAAATCTCTTTTGCCTTTCGACCTTTCAAATATTCGGTATAGACCAACCGTCTCCATACTGCCAGTACTTCCTTCATGGTTTGCTTGACAGGAAGTGTGGTTTGCCTTCCATTCCTCGTACGAAGCACTACCTTGCCTCAACTTGCTTTTGGTTTAACAAGACTTACACGAACTAGAAGGGGCCTCAACATCAATAACCTTGCCCGTGTCAACAGAAATCACAGACAACAACCGTTGAAAG